GCAGGAACCAGTGGGCACTCACGTTACAAATCAAATCCAATTGTTTAAATGTATTAAAGCAATTTATCCGTTTAATTCAGTTACGAAACTCTATCACCCTCATCTCATTAACAGATGAGAAGTTCAAATATTTTATGCAAATACCAAATTCATGGTTTCACCTTCATATTACCATTGAAAAAAAATTAATTTATTCAGCTAATTTTAATTTTTTTTTAAAATGTATCTTTAAGAAAAATTATTTAAACAAACTATTTATTCCCGAGTATTGTAAAATGATTTTTTAATGATGTGTTAATAATCTATTGAATGTGTCCAACACCGCTAATTTATTTAAATTTTAAAATATATATTATAAAAAAGCTTCTTTAAAACATTAAAAAAAATATATATATTTATTTTTAAAATAAAAGAAACACCGAAGAAAACATAAACCGATAAAACTAAAAGTACTTATTTTATTTTTTCAAAAAAAAAAAAAAAATTAAACAAGAGTGTATCCATAATCCATCTCCACCGAAGTCTTTCTTTTGTTCCCTGGAACACCCCGGAAGTGAAAACTGAAGTAGGAAGCAATAACCTTATCCATTAAGTTAAATTACGAAACCACCCTCACCCTCACCCCCTTAACAAGTAACAACAGATAACGCAGAGTGAAAGGAGAGGTTGAAAAAAAGCGTTGGATGAAACCATGATTGCTCTGAAAGGCATTCACGCTTCCTTGGGTCCCACGCGCACGCTGCACCACGCCGCCAGACCTCCCAACGCGAGGGCTTCGGTGTCGTGCAAGTCGAGCGAGTCCGACTCTGATTCCACAGCCGAAGGGAATGCTCAGAGCCAGGAGCTTCTGGCGCAAATCGCCATGCTTCAGACGCAGAAGGTTCGCCTCACCGATTTTCTCGACGAGAGGTCTCAGTATTTGAGCCAGTTCGGGGAAGAGGCTAAAGCCGAGTTCGACAAGGTTGGGGAGGACGCGCTTAAGGGATTGGATGAAGCTGGTGCCAGAGTATCTCTTCTTCTTCTCTTCAATTGCTCATTCTAACATTCTTCCACATGTTACTCTTATGTTCATTTTTTAACTTCATAAAAACCTTAAATTATTCTTTATTTAAAATAATTTCGAGGTTTATAATGAAATTGAGATATGAAATAAATAAATTAAGTAGAAATTTTAATTTTAAAGGAGATGTAATACTACTAAGGTTTGAAGAGGGGAATTTTGAATTTTCATTTTTCTCTTTAGATAAATTTTTCATGTTTTAATCGATGAGTTTTGGTCGGAAGACAATTGAATCAATTCAATTTATAAAAATATTAAATTAAATGAGAAATTAAATGTTTTAGAAGAAAAAAAATACAATATATTTTTCAATTGAAACCGGCGTGAGTTGGATCTAATAGAAGTGGCTAATCTCCTATAACATGGGCCAAAGTATGAATCCTTGTTAGGAGTGGTGTTCACCTTTAATATTCGAGTGTGTTTTGAATAGGATTGTCTATGAAAGAAAGTACATTTGAGAAAGAAAAAAAAAATTGATAGGAGATCAAATCCCACGCAATTCAAATTAGAGGTATTGAAAATACGATTAAACCTTATTTTTATTATATGCTGAAATAAGGTAATTTCATATATAAAATCAAATCAAATCAAATCATTGCAGAGTAAATATCAATAGATAATCTCAAATGAAAAATGCAATTACAAAATTAAAAATTTAAATAAAACAATAGACCTAATACTGCATATTTCAATCTACATTTGGAGAAAGTATATTGAAGCAAATTTTACTTCAACAATGACCCCTTTTACATTCATTTGTGATTAACAGATAACAGCAAACATAGAGAGCCAGATGCTAGAATTCGAGGAATCTACTGAGCTTAACAGACAAGAGATTGAGGAGAGTGAAAACAAAATAGTGGAGTTTGAGGGCCAAATGGAGAAGGAGCGAAACGAAGGGCTATTCTTCAAGAACCTTGATCAGAAGGCACCTGTTGACAAAGCCAAAGCCAAGGAGGATGTGGAAAAGATCAAAGATGTGAAGAGAGAAAACAATGGTAGCAAAACCAGGAAAAATGTTTACCTCTTCTTCATTGGCTTGCTCACTTTTGGAATAGTTGATTCTGTTGCCTCATCCTCGGGTGCTGATTGGAAAAGAGTTGCAATTCTTGGTGGTTTTCTTGTGCTCTTATTTTCTCTGTTCATCAATGAACAAAACAAGGACAACAAGAAAGACTAGAAATGAAGAGCAAAAGGGTCAACTTCATTTCTCATTGTGATCAAATAAGAACTTTCTTGGGGGGAAGACATTGTGAATAGTAATGGCTGGTTGAATATATGGCCCCAAGTAAGAGCTTACAACTTGGACTTGATGCAGCAATCAGCTTTTGCTAGGGCATCAACTTCAGCTGATATATTGGTGATATCACCATAGTGTGTCCAGAATTTGGGGATGAACTTAGTTTTCATGAGATGCTGCATAAATGCAGAATTTCTTTAAATCTTATGTTGATGCAGAAAATATATATATAGCTTTCAGGTGCATCATCGTCGTCGTCATCATGGCTATTTCAAATGTGTATTTAGAAGAACAACGTGTCACTGTCTTTTTATCATAGTGTCATCATATAAACAAATATTGTGAAACCATAACAAGTCAAGGTCAAATATTCTATTGTTACAGATTAACAAAGACGCGTACTGCATGGAAACCGAGCAGTTTAGTAATTGAAAAAATAAGAAATTCTATGGTACCTATTTTATTTGAGAGGGTACCGGTATAATTTTATTATATTTTATATTTTTAATAATTTATTTAAATAATATTTATGATATTTTATTTTTTAAATTTTTAAATTATTTAATTATTTTATTTGTATTTTATATATTTTAATTTATTTGT